AATGGCCCATTCATAAAAAAAACCACGCTCCTCGGGCGGGGCGGCGGCGGGGCGAATGCGCGGGGCAGGGGCAAGCATGAATGAAAGGACGGGGAATGAATGGTGTGGAGGGGCGCACACGTACACACCCCCTGCCACCCCCCCCCCACACACACACACACCCTGCCACCCCAACACACACCCGTGCCACACACACACGCACTTATACACACACTCTGCCACCCCTACACACGTATACACCCCCTTCCACACACACACAAACACACACACACACGACTGCCACAAAGGACGGGGAATGAATGGTGTGGAGGGGCGCACACGTACACACCCCCTGCCACCCCCCCCCCACACACACACACACCCTGCCACCCCAACACACACCCGTGCCACACACACACGCACTTATACACACACTCTGCCACCCCTACACACGTATACACCCCCTTCCACACACACACAAACACACACACACACGACTGCCACCCCCGTAACACACACATGTACACACACACCCTGCCATTCACACACATGCACCCCCTGCTACCCCCTAACACACACGTACACACAGACACATACACACACGCACACAGAGACACCCCTGTCACTCCCCTAACACATGCACACATACACGGGGCCCTGGCTGCAGTGAATATGACAGAAAGCTGGTGTGTGTGTGAGTGTGTGGACAAGGCCGTGTAAAAGCACAAGCGTGTGCGTGCGTGTGTGTGTACGTGTGTGCAACTGTGCGCGTGTGTGCTGGTATGAGAGTGTGTGAGGAAGTCAGGCCTGTCCGCCCTGGAGACCTGGGTTGTGTGTGTATGTGTGTGCACGCACACGCATGTGTGTGTGTGCGCACGTGTGCCCCTGTGCACACCCCTCCATGGTCGGTTTCTGGGTCTCTGCCTCGACGCCTGGACTTCTCTGCCCGCATCAATCCCCGATCCCGTCTATCGATCCGGGGATCACTCCATCGACCCCCGCCTTCCCCTATCGATCCCTGGATCCCTCCTCCCTGCCACGGATCCACTGAGTCCCATCGACGATCCATCGATCCAGTGGTTTGCCCCATCGATTCATTGGCCTAAGCCTTTGACCCCTGTCTGTCGATCTAGGGGCTGGGGGCTGAAGCTCGCACGCCTGGGTTGTCCCCCCCCCACCAACACCGTGACGTGCCAATCCCCCTCGCAGCCCCCCACCCTCGGGCCCGGCAGCTGGGAGGGGGGAATGAGTCACTAATTGCAGCAGCCGCCGCCGCCGCTTCCGCCCCCTCCTAGCTCCGCTTCGCTTTCCCCCCCG